TTTATTCTTCGCAGCACACCTTCATTTCATACCTCAAAAAATCGCGTTTATAAGCAGAAAATAAAAATCATTCTTATTATTATAATAAATCGCGTTTAAATTGACCCAAATCGGGTGAACAGTCGATGGGTAAAACTAGAACATTATTATTTCCCGATATGTATCAAATTTGTGCAATTTCTGTTAGACAAGAATAGTTTTTTCCTCCATCTTCAGCTATCTTCAGCTAGATTGTCCACGGAACACTTTATTACTCCTATTATTAAATACAAGCGGTCTCTAGAATAGCTCTTTTGTTCTAATAAAACTCTGACTGGTGATTTAATTATTCGTTGTCAGTTAAAATCCTGTGGTTCTATTGAATTCACCAGATTCTGAGAGTAGCGAAAACCGCTATCCGGACTCTCAGCTGCGACTTAGTCTTGCCCCTAGGTTTGCATGTAATATCGGTTTTGCAGGATATTTATTTAATTGTCTACAAACGTGTTAGTTTAGAAAACCTTCCCCAAACGATAGATTTCCGAAATTAATCCCATCGGATCATAATCGCTGATAATTACTCGAGGTTAAATAAATATCAACAGATTAGCGTATACGATACGATACGTCCGTAAGTATTCAAAGCCTGTTAAAAGGTCACTAACTGTTTAGAAGAATTAGCATTAGTAGGCGTTGCCGGTTGACACTGTTGGAAGACGCTAAATCTCAGGGAGGTTACACAATCGCTCACCCATGTGTAACGTCACGACAGCCATTAATATTAAGCGCAACTGTCACATTGATTTTTTAGTCACGCCAGCCTCTCATTTACATCACAAAACATAGTGTTCACTTTGTCTGGTTTTGCTGCAGTCTGTCCCATATGTGGTCAGTATTAAAATCAGCCATACAACTTTTTGCATTGGCTCTGAGAGGGATAATTTATCTTGATCTTTATTCATATAATAATGCATTTGATGATATTAGTAAATTGTTTAATCAGAATGCTAAAACATTAAGAATTAGAATGTTATTTAATATTAATTACTTATACTTAATTAATATTAAAGGCACAAACTAGTAAGAATTTTTACATAGTACTAGAGTTTGATAATTTGTCAAGTGCAAGTCATAAACATAAAATTTTTGGAAATTAAATTTATACATCTCCGGTCTAATCAAGTTAAAGATACAGAAGCAACAGCTTTAGCAAAGTCAACTAAAACCAAATTCTAATTCCTCCCTGACATCTTTGGAGATGTAGGAGCGAAGATTGTAAAATCAGATACTCCCTGACTTCTTTGAATCACTAAATTGGAAATACAGGAACAACATCTTTGGCAAAGGTTGTAAAATCAGATACATCTCTGACTTTTTTGAGCCTCCAGTGTAATCGATTGGAATTCAGGAGCAATAGCTTTGGCAAAGTCTTTACTGTTATAATGATAGCTGTAGGTAAAACGTTCATGTCAAGCAGTTTACATTCTGACACCAAATTAATACAGTGTTTAAAAACTAATCCATGAATTTGGATATGGGGCCAAACTGTGTCACTAATACTAAATGAAAGCTAACATGAATTAGTCACTCTAACCAATGTTTCTTGTGTTGTTTTTTCTCTTTTCTGTTCTGTTAGTTAGTGTTCTCGATTTGTTTTTTTTTTTACTTTTTATCTTAAAGTTTTGAGTTTGTTTGGAGTGTTTTGGTTTTATATCGTTTGATTCGGTGTTTTTAACCTTTTTAATTAATTCAAAAATAACAAAATCATGCTATCTGTTTAGCAGGGTCAGACATTTTAACTCACATAGTCAAATGTTCACTTTGTCTGGTTTTGTTGCAGTCTGCCCCAAGCCAAATATTAAATCTTGTTGTCGCAACACCTTTAGATTCACTCGTAGGTGTAGACAAAAAGAACGCAAATCTCCAAACCAAATGTTAATCGAGCGTACTTCGCCACTTGGGTGATGCATCCGTTAGACAACGCACATGTCTCTCGATTATATTAATATAAAAAGATTATATTGTATCAAAAATGGGTAGAACAATCCCATACTAGCACTGGGCTTTCCGTTAACCATAATACAATCTCTCGTACCAAATGCATTGGCTCTTACTTTTAAAATGTGGACGACAAAAAAATCCATTGGGAAGAATAGTTTTAGGTCCAAACACAGCATAAAAATATCCTTTCAACGAGAAATAAACTTTCAAGATAATAGTGACACATGAATACAGCGAATATATTAAGATAATTGTGTCTGCACTCGCGTAACTTGCAGGCCAAATATGAGCAAACTATAACCTTAAGCATTACAGTAACTCAAGCGTAAAATTAAATTACTATAAACATAAACAATGATGGTTATGTTCTGTTATTAATTTATTTGATATGGATAAATCTCACAAAGCACAACAATTACGTAACTGATCTAGAAAACTATATAATTCATTTCTTGCTTTTATTCATATTAAGAACTATGTTACATACCAACAAAGGTCCTATTCTAGAAAATTTAGCGAGCCAATAACAAACCAGAGTCTTTTTTAAAAAATTTTGTTAATGGATGAACTTCTGTAAACTCAATAATTGAGCAAGAGAGGGATACATTATATTATCAGGTACGGAAACCCCACAAATTGTCGCTGCAAAAAATTGTTCCTTATGAGATCCACCTTATTTTGTTAAGGAAAAGTATGTCGTTGAATTATTTTTTTTTGCTTTATTCGGAAAAAGAATAAAGATGACGAATTAAGAACTGAGCGTGAGCTCTAGATTGTGTTGCATTATTGTTCCATAAAAGCTTATTTCTCATCTCTTACTTGCATCAATATGAGGGAGATGCAGAAGAAAATGAGACATGAAGGTTGAAAATTGTATATATAACGCTATAGATTCGTATCGGTAAGGTAAAAAAAAAACTTTACAAAATCAAAGATTGCTATACATGTAAAAACTATAAGAAACTACAGTGACTTTTTCTCTTTTTTTTTTTCTTTTTAATTTCGTAAATCATGAGAAATATATCTGTACGAAAATAAAAATCGTAATAGTAAAACTAAAATACTAAACCAAAAGGCCCTCTTCTTTTCTTCCTCTTCACCTAAAAGTAATAAGGCGATGTAAAAAAAACTAAGGAAAAAAGTGCTATATTACAACGACAATACTAATTCACATCAATCAACAGTTCCCTTAATAACTTTTGATTTTCATGTACAACCGCCCAAGTTCCCCATTTTTAAACTCTTTATTACCCTAAACCCAAAATTTATAGTGGTATTTTGTTGTTGTCATTTTTACTAACCCGAGTAATCGAAATGAGTAATTGAGAGGGGTAATTGAGAGCAGAAGATTATAAAAAGCGAACGCGTAAAAAAATGTCCATTCGCTTTAAAAATCTCCCTCTCGAGCATAATACGGAACACACAAGGAATTAGCCGGCATTGCCGACGGATATGCATCGTTTTTAACGAAATTTGACGCGTAATATGGTGTATATCCAAAAGACGGTGTAGGTGCAAAGAATCCCCCACTATTATTGCTGCCTGCATTGATAATAGCGGTATGGTTTGTATTTGCTGAAGTCAGAGGAGGTGTGATTGGTGCATGATTTGACGTATGAGGGGGCGATGAAGTTGATCGCATCGTCGGAGATGATGCTGTACTGTGTTGTTGTTGCTGCTGCTGCTGGGAATGAGAATGAGAATTGGAGATTGAGCTTTGTGAAGAATGTGTTGGATTATACAATTCGGGGATTGTAGTCGGCAGTTCGCTATATGTGCTACTTCCATACACAGTCTCATTATGAGCAGTCGTGGTATTATAGAATACATCGCCACTCGTTTCCGAATGTGCACCGCCAGTTGACATGTGATTAGATGATGAAAGACCAGATGTTGATGGTTGATTTGAAGTTCCTTGTGATGAGTGATACGGCGTGAATGAATGATCTGCCCAACTGTTTGCCGAGTGTGCGTAGTAACTAAGGTCTGAATTTGCAGCACCGATGTGATGAGGAGCGGATTGACCTGACATAGGTGAAGTCGTTATAGTTGGTATTAGGGACTGCGGCGTTGTTTGTTGAATGGCGGGTGCCGATCTCATACGCGGTCGTCTGTGTGGCGGATTTATGTGTGGTGAGACGGGTGGAAACTCATGATAGGATGCTTGCCGATGAGGAGGAAATGGTCGAACAGACGGAATAGGCAGCGAAGTTGTTTCATGTCCCGCATTCGAAGAATGGTTTGCTCCGTAACCAAAACTTGAATGAAGTGGAGCAAAAGATTGTGGCGGACTGTTCGTATATGCTGAAGCAGCAATTGGTGGTTGCCGATATCCATCTGAAACCATTGCATTGGCGTTATCGGTCTCCAACTTTATCGGAGTATGAACATACTCCATCCCGTGGGTTGATAACCTCGTTGGACTGTTCGTACTTCCAATACTGCTCATCCTAGAAGGAATACCATTCGGATGCTTTCCATAATCCAATTCTATATAATGATATAGCATTGGATGAAGAGTAAGTATTTTTTCTTTCGAGTTAAATAAAAACACAATGACACACGCACACACACAATTTACTTACTTTGGGGCTCATTTTGGTCATATACTGGTTCTATCTGAGGAGGGATTCGAAAGTTCTGTTTGACTAGAAATTCTGAAGAAATTTCTAGCATCGCGAGGTTCGGCGTTGCCGATGGTGTTTTCAATTTGCCAGCTAATACGTCCTCTTTGGTGTAATAGCTGATCATATGTTGAGCAACACCATTGACAACTATTGACATGGTTTTCTTTATTAATCCGCCTTTTTTAAATCGATATGAATTCGTTAAGCTCCCAACGAGAGCTCGTTCCTTGTTCTTTTCCGCTTGAGACTCGGTATCCAGGCTATTGCTGCGTTGTCTCTCAACGGGTACAGTCTCTTTTTTACCGGCGGGAGCACGCTTATCTAATTCGCGATAAATCAAAAAATTTCCAAGAATGCGGGATGGACTCCAGACCAAGCCGTCAGTCCAACGCTTAATTCCAGATTCTCGTTCGTCAAACACGAATACACTCCCCGACTGAACAATTTTACGTTCTTTCTCTTGTAGTCGCCTGCATATTTTTGGTAAATGTCCTCTTCTACAGGCTTCGAATATGAGAAGTGTGTCTTGGGTTGATTCGATATATCCTCTGAAGGTAGCTTCAATGCTCATAATTGCGTTATAAAGTCGTTAAATCGTCTTGTCAGTCTGGGTGACAGCTTAATAAGGTATATATAGTGGGCCTATCTTTGATGTCGTAATCGTTACTGTAGTTGCGTTGTATTTATAATCTTTATTAAAGAAGGTTATTCGTTGGCCGAGGAATGAGTAGACACGCGACTTGAGGCTGGGGAAGGAATAATTCAAGTCGGACGGCTAAGAGATTGGTTTAGTTTTTTTATCGGGAAAAAAAAACTGGAGTTAGTAAATTGGGAATTGTATGTTTATTTATAAAGGCTAGTCAGCTTGTGCAACGACGAATCTCGTTGTAGGTGTATATTTAGATGTAATGGATAAACCTGTTGAAACTGTTTTTGTATCTTAAAAAAAACATTTAGAATACAATCGGTATTTTGGGGAGGGAGACAAATAAAATTAGTTGATATTGCGTGTCAAAATATAGATATGGGGAAAGGGGGTTATATGTGTATAATGGAGGTGGAAAAAAAAAAGTTCCGCTAATGTGAGGGAAAAAAAGGGAAGGGGGAGGGAAGGGGAAGTGTGAGAGAGTATATACAAGGACGAAATGGGAATACTATAAATAAGTGTATAAAAAGTAGATAATAAGATAATATACGTTAACGGAAAATCTACGAAATTAAAATATTTTGTATTGTTTATCTGTCATCGGACGCAGTGACCACTCGTATAACTAAGTAGTAAGCCAGCAACCAGGAGTGATGGTTTGTGCTAAAGGGTAACATCTTGACACTTACTTGTGTACAGCGCAGAGAAGCCGCGGAGTCCTCAGAGGTTTGAAAGTCAGATAGAGATTATTAGCTGTTGGTTGTAGACGTCTGTCAGAGAAATTAGACGGTTGGCCGCGATATTCCGACGTGAGTTGATTATTTATAAGGTTGGGGAGGGGGGGAATTGTGTAAGTGGGATTGAATTTGATAAAGTGAGAGAGACCTGTACGTTGAATTGTGGTTATTGTGGTTGTTGTTGTTGTTGTTGTTGTTTATGTATAAATGATGGATTATTGTCAATTATATACGGACTGAAGATAATTATTCTATCGTTAGAATGAATAATCAGAATGAATTTATCATGAAAGTGGAATAGAATGGAATGTAGAAGAACATGGAGTTTTCTTCTTTAATATTATTTGATATGAGATGTTCTGTTTATTAACCACGATCAAGGCTGCTGTGTGACTTCCCGAAGATGGATATGAGAAGCAGAGTGGTTTTCTTTATAGCGTCTTGCCCTTCTCAGTAATTATCAAGGTGGAATGATGTTTAGATAGAGGAATAAATAGACCATGCAATGATGTCAAGTGATGCATACGTAAATGTAATGGAATAATGCAAAAATATGTTATTTGATATACGGGACATAATTTTTTTGCAGTACAGTAAAAATTCCATAATATTGTAATATATATGGTTATTATTTGGTGGTACAGATATAACAGGATGCTCACACACATACATACATATATATATATGTACATATACCACACTACGTATGTATATATATATATATATGTGTGTGTGTGTGTATGTGTGTGTGTATGTATGTGTGCATGTATGTGTGTGTCGTTGTATATGTAAGTGTATGTTGTATGTTGTATGTTGTATGTTGTATGTTGTATGTATGTTGTATTTTGTATTTTGTATGTTGTTGTTGTCGCCGTATGTGTGTTGTATGTGTCGCCGTATGTGTTGTTGTTGTCGCCGTATGTTGTTGTTGTATGTGTACGTTGTAAGCGTATATGTATGTATATGTGTATACGTACATAGATATATACACATAACGGATATACATATGTTAAAAATAACAAAACATTGACTAATAACATTGTGTAATATAGATATCCCGTATAATTTGTTATCGATATTATAACAATCCCATTGTAAGAAGCAGCAACTATTAATTAAATTACACCCCCGTCATGTAATCGATCAATAAGCTACCATTTGTAACCTGTACAACTGTCCCTTTCTTATTTTCAATGGACACTTTTTGAGCAAGCAACCAACTGGAGCAATAAATGCAATGACTATCAGGGTTAACACACAAAAGATGCTCGACAAGTCTTGGGTAATCTAGCAAATATCAAATACTGCCAAAAAGTTTAACAACTGCGTTGTACTTGTTTGTAAACAAAGACCATAACTTGCGAGTTGTTGAATTGGAGGGGTTTTTTTTGAGAGAGAGAGATAGAGAAAAATGTATACAGTATGTGATGCATGCGTAGCACAAGTACTTTTCTCTTGCACACATCCATCTAATACGGTATTATAAATTTTATGATTATTTAATTTAATTCTTTTATTTATTGCATCAATTAAATGTTAAACGTCGGATGTTGACTACCCATTGTTTACGTGGATCCTCTCTTCAATCAACGCAAGTTACAACGCTGCAGCCATATGTTATTGACTCAAAAAAGTCAGGAAGACCGCCACCTGTACTATATTTACAAACAATAAATAATAAACCTGATTATCCATAACCTATCGCATTCGTTGGCTGACTCATTATTCTTTACATGTATTAGAAATTCGAATTCATGGGTCATCCGCATTGTGAAGACGTAATAATTAAGGGTATTGACCAACTAGATATGATCGGATGTAGCCAATAATAGATCTCCGCGCATACACAAACATATAATCAGGAACACAAGCTCATGGACAAGAAACAGCCCATTCTATGAATCTCGATTCCACCATACACTTACTCATGCAAAGATCAAAATAATGGACGGACAAGAAGATGGTTTCTGCTGCTGTCTCTGTCACCACTGACAACGCACCCAAAAAAGTAAATTAACTTATAATTACTTGGTAATATAACAAGTAACTGGGCGTTCTATACTTGGTTAAACAATACACCACTAGAATAACTAATATGTCTGGTCGTATAATATTCGTTTACAACTAACCATGTCCCTAATGTTCCATTTCTATTTACGGTGCCAGTGAAATGGCCACGTAACTTCACATTTCTCAAAAACTAATAAGGTATAAGAAATCACTCTTGTTTATTCTCTTATTCGTCCATCAATGTTTCCCTTTCTTTAATGGAGACTGTTTGATATCAAGTTCTTTGTTAGGTGTTGAACATCGGGAAAATATTTTCCTCACTCATAACTCGCTGTTTCTGCATTTCGAATCTTCCTGTCTATTTGTGGAAAAAGTCGCACCCCGATCCGCTGACCATTTTCATCGACTCCTCGGGAAATTTCTCAGAGACAAGAATGCCCATTGGACTAAACCGGTTAACTCGGATGCACCCCTGGATGTTCGTCGTGAATAGTACAAATGAAACAGTATGTTTTGTTTAACATATTGTAAGTGCTAATAATAAAAGCGATGTGCTGCCTTTTAATTACTCGTTGTGACTGTTTGTTGCCCAGCACTTTACTACTTATTAATTGATCTCCTATTCTACAGTCATTTATTTTGTATAAATTATTGTTGATACAGTTATGATGGGGAGTATGTATAGATGTATGTATGGAAGAGAACCATAGAATGTCAGTGACACAACAAAACTTTTGAATAACCCCGCGCTCGCTGAAATCTTTTTTTTTTCCCAGTTAGACTAGTCTAATTATGGACAAGACGATGTTCCTGTTACAGCGTTCCCGTCTGAACGATACTATACTGGCAATTATCCCAGTTCTTCGATAAATTCGACGCAACCATGGAATAAAGATCAAAGACAAAGAATGACCCGAACAATATTTTATGATGTCGATGGATTTGGACAAATATATGTAACACGGTGAGTAAATGTGTCGTAATACAGCATATTGTCTAGATTGAATAACGACTATGTGAAAACTTATGTTGCACACGGCTAAAATGACGAAATCGATGAGCAGATTATTCCACGGCAATCGAGAGCGTATAGTAACAATTTTATCGATAATATCTATGCCTAATAATCGCATTTTTGTTTATCGTGAAAAAAAAAAAGAAAAGAAAAAAGAATACTACATGTCAGTTATTTCTTCCCATATGATTCTTATCTTTCCATATCAAATTTGAGGATAACCTGCAGCATTTGAGGAGAGACCCAGGCCCTAATCCGATTGAACATCAGCATGTGTAATGTCGGTGTTGAAAAGACAAGTGTAAGTGGATCAATATATTCGACGGCTGGAAAACATGAGAGTGACCAAAAATATCAATCAAACACGAGCAGAACGCTCGTAGACATAAAGTTGTTTAATTAGTTGTGTAAACATAAAGCAAGCAGTTCATTCTCAATGCACAAGAATACGAATGTGCTTGCAGTACAAAGCGACGAATTACCGAAACAGGAGAAGGGCTAAGAATAGACGAGCACGTGAATGGAATAATTGTTGAGTACCGCGGTATTTTTATTGGGTCAATTTTATGTACGTTTCATTTATCCGTAACCGTGGAGCCACCGTTAACCCGACAAGTAGTATTATTAGTGAATAGTAAAAGTTGGATCAAATGTTATAGTTGATAAGCGCAAGGTAGTAGTAACACATTAAGAAATAAGGGTAATTAACAATAATTTAATAACTAGGGATCACCACTTATCACAAACAAATAGACATAACATTGTATCAACAGCATAACAACAACAATAATATGATTATTACGTTATTCTATTGATTGCCATTATTGATAAGATTTATTTATTTATCATAGTACGTTGCCGATCTGCACCAGATCGATATTGTGAGCTACGTAACAACTGTTACGATTTAAAGAACCGATGCTCATTGATACGATATAAATAACATATCGTGCCCATAATTATCGACCTTACTGACAGAATTATCTGCCATTCAAGACATGAAATAGCCATCATTCACCGAGTTGTTTCGCTTCAAATTCGACCCTATCTATCGAGTACCGTGAAGCCCTGTTACACCGTTACATGATGATCATTCAGGGAGCGAGCTATTAACAACCGATACCTTATCAAACCGAGTCATACCATTGGTCAGTCAGCCTTGTGTCGCTTTGTTGTATGTCCAACAATGTCTTGCGCATAGCGTGCAATTATTCCAAATATCTCAATGACATTCGATACTATAATTCTATTAACTCTTTGCAGCGTGCATCTATAGAGGACGAATCATGATTTTTACCGTTGGTCCTCAAACATAGATCTTTTATGTTGCGAATGGCTTTTTGTTGTAGAAATTTCAAATACTGGGCCGTCTTAATGATATGCTTCATAAAGATACTGTACCGACGTAAAAGTACAAACATAAGATTTAACGCATCATCAAATAAACAACTGACAGTCTGTCTCCCTCTGAATCAATGCATTGATATGTTACTTGTCAAATTAGTGAACTGCATTCACAGATATGCTATTATGGGACGTGCAGATAAATGCTTGCCATTCAGTATCCTGCTTTCTAACAATAGCATTTCTAATATAGAAGGTGTGACAGAATAGATTATTGGTACCATATGAACGGAGCTTACCTCAACAGTCGACTCCCTGTCACAGAAAAAGTTTCAAGCCGAATATGTATATGTATTTTGTGTGGGTGTGCCTCTTGATAGCAAATGGGTGTGATTTGCGTTTGTATCCGATTACTTTATTTATAGCATTATTTTAAATAGTACAGTCGGCAAGTTCATTGAACGTTATGTTTACTCGTTGTTATCTCTATAACTAACCTTATTTAGACATCAATATAGGTCAATATAAATCGACATTAAATGAATAGTGATTTTTTTTTTCCGAGCTCCCCTTCCTCCCACACACCAAATATGTAAGCATAACCAGGAGGTAGTGAACTGCGGCACTAGTGAGTCAGCTGACCAATAATGATTCTGGTTTTAACACTGTAAGAATAAATGTTTATATTTCTACTACTACAAGATCTGTTTTCATGCATAGATAATATGATATGTGACACCGCATCCTGATTATGTAAATCACGATATTATCGTTAATCTTTTATTTACAAATACAAATGTCATTTATATTTATAGATTTCGTTTAATTTGTAAATTCCAAGAATTTGAAGAATGTTGAGATGTTGAGGGTATTTACACTAAACTTAATCCTATAGCCTGGTATTCTCATTTTGATATACTGTAATCTTTATAAAACTATATGCTATTTTTTACATGCGCATATGTCACACATAATTCCTTGCAGCATTGTTTGCTTAGTCCCTTCCTATATTGCGTAACATGTCACTTTTATCCATTAAATGTTGTCACTTACTATGTGACCAATAAAAATTCGTCTAAGACTTCGACATGCAAAGTGCCTGATATGAGAACATACACATGACTGTGTTCTGCTAGGAATTATTCCACCTGCCATTTAAATCTCGACCTACAACAATAGTCAGATGTTGTGTACAGTACTAAAATTCTTTCAACAAATCTTATAATGGAATATAAACAATTCACACCACAAAACGTCGGGACCCACATCTTCTCATGCAGAAGAACAAAAGACAAGCAAAAAAAAAAGATGTTTACCCCACTCTATCATGTTCTGGTTTCGTGGCTCTGTTTGTTACACCGCGGAGGCCGCCGATTTTTACGCAGAGGCTTGGAAAATTACAATAGTAATGTCAAAACTCATGACACCATGAACAACTCGATTTGTTATCAACAGGATGTAGCAAACCAGAAATTCAACCATAATTTTTGTGTGGAGGTAAGGTTGATGGTCCGAGAGACAAATGACGACTAGATGGAATTGAGTAACAATATGACTTTTTTAGTCTTGTGTCATGAGAGATAGGGAGGTTTTGAGCAAAAAAAAAAAAGACGACATTAAAGAGATCGACTCTAGAGGTTTCCCCATTTGGGTCCATTTATTGAAACGTACGCAACTACCCATTCCATCAACATTCTGTACACAAAACACTGCAAAATCAAGTTTTTTCGTTTTAACTCTGTCTTTCCTAATATTCTTTCTCGTAAACTTTATTGATTGCATGGATATTCCGTAAACGTGGCAAAACAATACAAGGATTATTACTGAAACAATGCGAGTATCTTCAAATTTAATGATATTTGTACAGACCACGTTTCCCGCATGCACGGAATAAAAGTTGTACAAATACGACTAATGGACAAACGCAACTATTGATACAGGGCGAATTTAGAAGAATAATATGTGGTTATTTGATTCTTAATACATGGCACCGCGTTTATCCTCGACAAATTACAGACTGTTATCTTTTTTCATCTTTGACAATCACACCAATAAGATTTCTGATAATAAATTCTACGAAATTGATCATTTCCTAATTTACATTAAACAGTTTCCCCTCCCCCCGTTACCCCTCTTTTTTTGCGTATGCATAACATATTCGGAAGGCTTGTATTTTCACCCCTGAGTAGAGAGAGGTCAATTATGTAATACGAATAAGCCTCACCAAATACACGTTTCTATTAAAAATACTAGTTCTTTGTCACGTGATGAAACGCAGATAATTGAGCTAGACAAGTTTGTCTACTCCGTTGGATAAGTTCTCCCATCTTATGCGCTAGTGCTGTGATTTAATTTTAATTAAAACCCCCTTTACGTCACCAAGTGCAACCCGGAGTATGTATCATGAACAGAGAACGACTTTATTGGCTTCAAGTAAATTTAATCTAACTGATAACGAATCGGTTGTAGACGTCCCGTATCATGGTCTTTTATGTTTTGTTTATTGATATTTTGACTAGTTATCTAAACATCTTGGAGATTTGATTCTTCCAAAATTGTGCAAACCGAATTCAAGTATATATCAAACAACAAACCTTCATTATCATTATGGAGTACAAAGACAATCATCGTAACGAGCATAAATGTCACTAGTTAGGCCTGTCCAAAGTTACGAAAACATCTCATCATATATATCTGTGGAAAAGTAGGCCTTACACGAACAAGTCTTGGGAAAGATAAAAACCAGATGACTTGTTCGTGTAAAGCTTGAATACCAGATTCGGTCAACTCTGTACCGCTTTTCGAGCCAGGCATTTATAGATGGTGATACGAAGATCATTAGAGGAATAATGATTGTTCCATCATCATTAGTCGCCCACTTATGGCTCCAAAAATATCGAACAGCACAATAGATACCTTTGTCGGTTGTTTGTCTCTGTGCATTCTGCATGAAGGTTTTGTTTTATAATATAGTAATACATTACCATACGTCTTACTTTAGGATTATGAGAGAAAACATATATCGCTGAACAATTCTTTTCCATATAATACTTTTCTTAAAATAATTCAGACGGCCCATTTTTTGGTGCTATTTCACTATTTCCTCAACATATTTATTATTAATAAGGAGACTCATACACCTGGTACTGACTGTATGTGATCCTCACTGTAAAAGTTTCTTGACGTTTGAAGATGCATTTGATGTGCATAAAAAGATGTACTTAAACGTCAAAACAGCGTAATCAAGTACATTTGGCATGGAGAGACATCAAGTGGCATGAAGAAGCAACAAGCAAGCATGAAAGACCTATCATGTGGTACGAAGGAGCATGAAGTGGCATGAACTGTGCAGACACAGTTCATCATTGCTTCACCTTTAATACAATCACGACGCAGATATAATGTCTCGAGGCTTTATAATTGGACATAAAGTCTAAGTTGGAACCCAAACTTTGGCTTAGAATAACTGAATATTCGGCTGAAATGTCCGGGTATATCATCAGATGCAAGTCGTATTTTCATAAAAAATCTATTTGTAAATTTGCCCTGTCCGCCTGGCGGTTATATCTTCAAAGATCATGCAGACTTTGGTGTCTAGACGATTTCGCATTTACTTATTGGATTAGTGATTAATATGTATAATCGAATTACTATGTATTCGCACTAATAGTTCTTTAATTACATCTAATTTGACTTTTTTCCTAGAAAATTGTGTGTAAAAACATGTCAATCTGAACGTTTTTGGTTTTCTGATAACATCGAATTCTAATAATTTTATGGTCTTTGAATTGATATAGATTCTAATTTGACATACTTTTGTTATTAAAGTTTGACTCATTAACTAATATCTTTTCAGATTGTCTCGTCCGTAGTGTTCGATTAATGCCATAGTTTTGTCAGTTGAACGTCAAACATGCTCGATAGTCGAATCGAGTCCAACGTCAATATTTATGTCTGTCCTGTATGTACTGTAAGATGCGGTTAGAATTTTGACTTGGTATTATTTAAAACTTGATGATTTTAATTGTGAGTTTATATATATAATGAATGATCGCATTTAACTCTATTTGAGTTTGTTCCACTCAATATTTTTCGTTTCCTCAGGAGAAGAGGAAAGGAATTCAAAAAGGGCTCTTCCCCTATTATTTTGGTCTACCATTTTGTAGTCTTATGCATAACCGTTTATTTATTTCAACTTTGGCAAAAATTTATGAAAAATAGGAATTCCAGATACGTTTCTGATTCGAAAATTATGAACGTACTTTACTATCAGTTTCACTAGAAACGTCAAATTTTTGACGTTTTCAGTCACGTTGATTCCTTATCATGGTTTTGAAAAAATAATTGATATTACTGTTTAATTGCTACAAAAACAAAGATTGATATCGTAAAGCATAATACATTCTTTTCAAAATCGCGCATTATGCTTACAATCTCCATCGGATTCTCAGAATCTCTTCCGTAATCGCTCGTTCCGAGCTGCCGCTCAACAAGTAGATTCATTATCAAGTCGTTAATATTATGTCTCTAAGATAGATACACATTATAACAATTGAGTTTGAGAATGGCAAGCATGTGTGCTATAGTATAGAACAACCACTTACTGAGTTGACCAATTGTCTATTGTGCCCGCAGTAAAAAAGACGCCAAACTTTCACCGATTGTGGCATTTATGCCATTCCTATAAAGCAACAAGCTCACCAAATTGTTAGCAAGATAAAACCGCTTTACGTATCACAGCTAAAGCATAAATCGCAAGCTCTCAATCAATAAGAACTAATTGTCTCTAACTTTTCGAAAATAATTATGCCACTTCATTTTTCGATCTTGAAGCATTTTACAGATCTTCGCCATTTGCGTCCAGCCCAAACGAAATTTTTTTCTCTCCACTCGCAAAGCTTTGTGTTCGCGAAGTAGTCAGAGTTTCTGCAAAATGTGGGACGTAGTTTAGGATTGCAAAACAGAAATTTTTTTACGTGCTGAAAAGTTTACTCAGCAAATAACAAACAGCCACCATGGTAGCTGTGCAAATAAAGGACCACCAAATTATTGCATATGTTTGTTTAAAATTTGTAGAAATTAGTTAAATCAATTCTTGTGCAATGTTGAAGAAAGAGTCGTCTATGTTGTTATCGTCTTGTGACGCGTCGCGCGTCCCTCTTTGAACTTTGGTCTAGAACACGATTTGAACGACATGCTACTTGCTTCGCGTCAGGTGGATCTTAAAGCATGTTATATGCTAGTACCTTGGCAGGAGCCCTTTATTCTTGACAGAGCAAAAGTATGAAAAAAAAGAAATAATAAACCAAGATCATTCTAACCTAGTTATAATGCTTGCATTTTTACATATATTTTAAATTCAAAATAATTATGTGGAAATATCTTATATCCAAATTTCTTAAAGTAATGGACACTCTTGATACTTTTCAAATCTTTTTTTGCTTCTAATTGTTGATGATGCAAGTACGTGGGGAGGGGGGGGGGGGGAGGGGCTGAAAGTTTTGGGCATATATTTTTATTTTCAGAAAATTCATAATAATTTAATTAGTCAAGATTAGTGTAAATGAGAGAAGGCAAAAAAAAGAAAGTAACCTCTAAAATTGATATTAAGGAAAACATGTCTGTAAACACATGTCCTCATGATCTTTCAACAAGTCTTTAGATATTTGGTATAGTAACATATGCACAACTTCCTGTGCTAAATCAGTTTTTCTTCAAGTTACACAACATAAAGAAGAAGTACTCTTCTTGATGCTCATTGTCCAGAGGAAGAACCAATTGCTCTCAACCAGTCTTTATTTTGTTACGGTCGGCAATTGTTTGGTTGGGAGAGCCAATTAAATCTTTAGCGTAGGCGTGTTCACCGACCAGGGAGTTG